TTATCTGGGCAGGAAATAAAATGAAAGCAATACAGCTGGACAAAATATTGCAATTTAATTCTTAATGCTTATTTAAAAGGGGAAAAAAGAAGTTTTATTGCCAAAAAATAATATCCAATGCTTCTAGCGGCCATCTGAAATGTAGGGTAAGTATGTAAACAAACAGTTTTGCCAAAACTGTGCGGCTGTGATTCCAGCACAAGAAACATGAAGTTAAAGAGCCATGCAAATTTTTGATATTTCCTGAACCCATGCTGAAAATAACTCACCGGAAAGAGCTGCTGTTGAGATATATGAACCCCAACCCCCACCTTCTAAAGGAGCATAATCTTACTGGGGCTGAAACAACAGAAATGCTCATTAGGGCAATTAATTTATGCTTTAATCATGATGTTAAAACCCAACAACTCCACCAGATGGCAAATACAACTCAAGGGAGTTCTATTCTAGACCACAGCTGATGATTTAACATGCAAATGCTATAAAGGGATGGATGTACCTTGTAATGCTATTCTGCGGCTCTTTTAAAAGCCCAGTGTTATACTTAAACAAACAGCAACAATAAAAACAAACAAAACAGTTGCTTTCCTGCACAAGAGCAAGAGTATGCTGAATAAGTAAAAAGAAAAGATTCTGAGTATATTTTATTTTGAATCCTGGTGCTGGTTGAAAGATAGTCCAAACCTGTCAAGTGATGGGACTTCTGGGCCAAGTTTTAAGGAACAGTAATCCACATTTGCTGTCACTTCCTCTCTTTTCAATCCTCCTCCATCTGCAACCTGGCTTCAACCTCCAGGGCACAAATGAAACTGCTCTTATCATGCCAAGTTCAATCATGTCCAATTTATGAGCCTTGGCTCAAGAGTCACCACTTTTCTGAAGTCATCTTGAATACCTTACTCAGGGTATAAACTCAGCCAAAGCTTGGATTCATAAAGTCCTCTGTTGTCCTGTAATTGGCTACCACCTAACTGGTAGAAGCTCCTGGGTTCCTTTGGTCTTTGAAAAAAAATTTTTTATTAATATTTGTTGAAAGAATCGCTAAAGAGACTGGAGAGTTAGTAAAGGGGTTGTCTTAGTTCAATCCCCAGGGCACCACCAGCACTGCTCCAGGAACGAATCCCTGAACACTGTCGGGTGTGTCCCCCGTAAACAAAACAAAAATAAATAATTAAGAGTCAATTAAATAATGGCTATTGGGGAATAAATAGACGAAAGGCTTGCTTGATTACCTAGGAAAATCCCACATGATTTCTTTGAAGTGCTTGTTATAAGAACAAATAAAAACATGAAAGGAAAAGTCTGGAATGCATCCAGGGAAAGTTTCTCTTGGTTAGAATCAAGAAATCTGCTACAAGTTCAAGAAGAAAGTTCCAACAATTGAACAATACATTGTTTCGCTGAGTTGTTAATAACACTTTGATATCCAAAAGCCAAATTTTAGCAAGGTTTGGTGCCCCCCCGCCCCCCCAAACACACACATAACAGTACTGATGTGCTGGTGGGGGGTGGGGGGAAGAGAAACGGGGAGGGAGGGGGAACCTTCCCAGAATATTGCTGGAAATCTGAGGTGCTGGGATGAACTTGAGCAAAGCACGCGCACTAACCCTTTGGACTATCTCCCTGACCCAGGAAATCAGACTCACTACACAGCACTCATTATCTGAGTGCCAGTCACAAAGTTCCAATGCCAGCTATTTGTTTCACATCTATTTATATCTGGAACATAGGAGGCCCATAACTTTACCTAAAAGACAGGAATACTTCACAGTTTTCGCTCACCAAGTTCCAACAACAGCACTTTTGAGAACTCAAGTGACCAAACGATGACTCACCTGGGAACACCTAAAGGTATAGTTTCTGTGGCCCTGGGAAGTCCTCTTCACAGGATTTCACTTTCAGATTGGCAATTTATCCTTCCCCTGCACCACCCCTTACCCATCCAATTCCACTCCTCCTGGTTCTTCCAGCCATCTTGCCTGAGGTCAGAAACTCAATTAGTAGAACTAGGCAAAGTAGAACTTGGAGGAGAGGAGTCTGGGATTGGAATAAAGAGAGGAGAGGAGAAAATCCACAGCATACTAACTCCCAACCCCCCAGCCCTTCCCTAGTCTTATCACCCTAGTGCCTGACAAGTCATTCTCCCAGGAGCCCAGCCCCCAATTTCCTCATTCTTCTTTAGTCACCTCACCCTTTCCATAAACCCTGCAGCTTCGGACCCACCCACTGCTTCTCTCTGCTATCTCCATGCTCAACTCCACAGGACTCCCTTCTCAGGGCTCAAAAAATAAGGAGAGTGTGGGGGGGAGGGGAAAGGAAAAGGTGGGGGGAAGAAAGCGGAGAAGCCAATAAGTCATGTCCTTTGGGGGTTAAAGTGGGACCTTGACCATCATTTCCAAAATTGCTTGTCTAGGAAATGCGGAGCTCTATGCTGAGCTCCAGATGACCATGAACCTTTAGAATACAACTCAAGTTGGAATTGGGGCCAAATCTAAAAACCAATCAATCCTGATCAACCATAAATACATAAGTACATTTATGAAGGTTAAGTGACTAGACTTATCAAACATCTCCCACCCTGAAAGGGACCACAGGAGCCACCCTTCAGCAAGCCAAGTCTGTTAATCCAGAATTTGTATGGGGCTGGAGAGATAGTACAGTAAGGTGCTAGACTTGTACGCAGCGGATCCGAGTAGCCCGTAGGGTCCCCTGAGCACAACCAGGATTGATTCCTGTGTGCAGAGTCAATAGTAAGCCCTGAGCATCGCTGGGTGTGGCCCAAAAATAAAAACAAAACAAAACAAGAACAGAATCTGCTTATGGAGCCTCCAAATACCAGTGACCCAATCCGCTGAGAGCAAAAAGACTTGTATACTTCTCTCATTCACTCCAGCAGAAAAGCCCGAAACAGGGTTCAAGGTGGTTTTTCTTATTATTTTTCAGCTTTAGGGTATTATATTTTAAGTTAATTGTTCTAAGGCACTGGGCTAAGTTTTCAATAACCAATCTACCAATGATTTCCACATGGACCTTCTCATTCCACAAAACATGTATATCTTGTTTATCATTTACCTTGTTTTCCCGTGTCCAGGTCTCTTGTACATGAAAGCTTGCAGTTAGTTTTCTCCATCCATTCAATGCTCTTTACAGGTAACGTAATGCCCCAGATAGTCCCACTTATCTGACGCTGTGACTGAAGGCTCTTCATTCAACCACCACACAGGAAACAAAAATCTCCATGGAAGGAGCTCAGTACAGGAGCAGAGCTCACTCACTCTTCTTCAGGTCCCTTTACCTGACATCTGGCAGTCAGTTCAAAACTACCCTGGCCTCAGGGTTGAGACAGACCCTCAGGGTGAATGCTGGCCAGCTTCACCGCCTGTTTGCATTAACCCTTTCCAACCAGGCTTCCTCCACAGAAGCTGTGGGACTCTGACAGAGTAAAAAGCATAATCTCCAATATGAAGAAAAAAATTCATCTTCATTAAGGTGAGTAGCACATCATAAAAAAGCTAAATTCACAGTCCCCACTCCCCTTGCTCCCTGCCCCCTCCCCCCACACACACTTAAGCATGGTAAAGGCAGGATCCACAAAATTATTCACTGGACTAGAGCAGGAATAAAAATAGATAATTATTTGAAAATGGCTAATTTGGAAAATTCTGGTTCTTGTTCAAAATATTCGTCAAGTAGAGGTTTTTGTCCAGGTACTAAAATTCAGGGCCTTTTATCTGTTTTGTTTTCTTTGGGGCCACACCCAGCAGAGCTTCCTTAACAGGAGGAGCAGATTAATCAAAAAATACTAGCAAAGTATTCAAAAAGTAAAATACTCATATAGGTGAATGTTTCTGCAAAAGTCCTACTTTAAGACTTGAGTACTAAAGATTTTGAGGCCTAAGGTTATTACCAAAAAAGATCCGTGCTTTTCATCAAATACAAAAAGAAGAAAACGCTACAGTGGCTGTTTTCTTCACCTCTTTTTCAGTTTCTCAAAAATACCTAACCTTGACCAACTAAGTCCTCTTCATGGCCTCAAGGAGGAAAAAAAAATACACCTGGAAATTTTCATCAAATATAGGAGCTTAACGCATTGGAGAGCCCGGCAAGCTACCGAGAGTATTTGATATGCCAGACACAGTAACAACAAAGTCTCCAATGGAGACGTTACTGGGCCCGCTCGAGCAAATCGACGATCAACGGGAGGGCCTTTACCTTTATATTTGATATATAACATATATATTCTTTAACAATAAAGAACACCAAACATCCCTCTATATAATCACAGCATAAAGCGCATTCAGATAAAGGGGTTAAGAAAACCACAGCATAACAGAGAAGTCAAACAAGATGCTAACACGTCCCACAACCACAGAAGCTTTACGAAATCCTTGACTGCTCAGCTGGACTATCAAGGATGATACAGGTACACCATGAATATGCCTGTGTCCTATACATACAGATGGAGAGGGTAACCATGACTAGAAAATACAGGTACAAAAGCAGGGAGAATAGTTAGTATTTCCTGCAATCCCCCCCCCCCCCCCGATACCAGTCTAAAGTCACAAATTAGCCTTCAAGGATTAAAAGAATACCAAAAACTTTAGTAACCTTTTCAGCTTTATAGTTTTCACTTGACAAGGACACCACAGGTCAATGCAAGAATGAAATAACTTCAGATTTCTTGCACCTAGCAAACAGACCTTTATGATTTGGGCAACTTCCTTCCCTAACTTGACCTCTGATTGTGGATACTTTAAGGGCCTTGGAACTTCTCTTTTCCATCCCATCAGGTCCTACATGCAGTATCTGCAACTAGTAATCCTAGATTCTAATTGTAGTAACTACAATGAGGTTCAAATACTTTGAACCAACTAGTCAAAGAAGTCACCCACTCTTGTAGAGTGATTTTTCTCCATATGTAAATCTCATGGGGTTGCTGAAAGTCAATTTCAGTGGTGAGGCCCAAAGTGTGCCATGCCTGTCTGGCACCTAAGTGTTACCTGGAATGTGGATGTTTGGGTCCAAGGCCATCTGGAGCTTCGTATGGCTCTTCTATCTCGTACACATTTGCATCAGCATCCTCTACGCTACTGGAATTCTGCCATTCAAATTCCAGAGTTTTAATAAAGGGCAAGTTTTCATACTCTGGTATTTCCTCGTAGTGACGTATATTTTCATACTCAGGGGCAGAGCCGCTTATAATAGGTGTGCAAGACCCCTGAGATGAAGATTCCCTGGAAAGCACTTGGTCATCTAAAGACTCTGCTCTTGGTCCATGAGTTGCACTGGTCTGGACCCGACACTTTTTCCTCTTCTTTTGGGATTCCATGCTGTAATTATCTGCAGAATATGCCTTGGTGGGTTTGCTTCTCTTCTCCACTCCTACTAGCAGGTTATGCCAATCACTCTCTGTTCCTTTTCTCTCTGCACCTGAGAAGCTGCCTGCAGTCATATCCCCAAGTTGGCTGCCCCTGGACCAAAATTTCTGGAAGTCGCTCTTCATGAAACAGATGGACAGTTTCATATTGAGCAACTTCTTCAAAGAGTTTTTCTTTGGAGAGTCTTTGATTGGTTTGGTGCACCTTTCTACATCCACAGCAGATAATGACTTTGCTCGAGGCTTGGTCAGGGCAGCTGAAGGTCCACCATCTGAGGAGACAGCTACAGACTTTAAGGATTCTGGGTTCCCTAAAAAAGGTAAAATAGGATGAGGTAATTTCCACACTGGCTTTTCTGAAGTCCGTTTAGGCATGTCAAAGGAGGATGACATACCATGGTTCTGGGCACACAAATGCCGAAGGTGATTTCTTTCTAGAATCCTCCCTGATGTTTTTTCTTCATTTGAGGGATAAGAACTTTTCTCCACAAGCTCCTCTGATGCGGCCTTTTTAAGCACCCCTGCAGAAGGCAAACTGTGTCTTTGAGGTTTTTTGGGAACAACTTTTGAGGAAGCTTCATCTTTTATTTTAGATTCCTTTTGTATTTGAGGACTAGACACTCCTGGGTTACAGGCAGTAGGTAAACGTTCATTGCAACTTAATTTAAGCTGCTTGGGAAGGCTCATAGATAAAATACTGCACCGTTTAAAATTGATCCCTTCATCCACCTCAAGTGACAAATTAGAACTATCTCCCGTCTTGCTGTCAGAATTCAAATGAGAGTCTGTATTTATAGGAGGTGCCCCTTTCTCAAGGGAAGATGTTTCATGACACGGGGCTTTCTGTAAATGGACTACATTTTGTGGGGCACAAGTGGAATCCAAATTTAGTTCACTTTTACTTCCTGGTTTCACTTTGTCTACCTGTTCCTGGTTACATAACATATTCTGATGAAGAAAACTGATTTTGTGGTTTTTCAGACTTTCTTCAGAAGGACTAGAAGGGCTATTATCTAAATGCTCTGGTTCTTCCAGACTTTCACTTTGAGAATCCACGTACTTCTGGCGTACTAGACGAGCAGCTCGAGTCTTTCTAGGCTTGGGAGTTGGAAATCTAGGGGTACAAGGTACTAAGTGAAGTTCTAAGGGACCAAGGTCTTTGACTTCAGATTTCTTACTAACTCCATCTGGTGATGAAAACGTGCTCCTCTTGCTGTTTTCCAGAACCTTTTGTTCAGATGGGTGAACACAAGCATTGCTTTTTTCACTGCCCTTGTGACATGTTTCAAAGTTTTGAAATTCATCATGAGGAACTTGTAGGTGGCAAAGCTGATAATCCGGAACTTTTTCAAGGCTGGATGGGGATGGTGACAAATCCACAAATTCAACTCTGAGTTGTCTGTCAGAATGACAGTCATCATTCAGTTCAGGTTTGCCTGTGGATCTGCACTTCTGTGGGAAAATCAAAGGTGATGATGGTTGGGTTAAGACATCTTTCAGTTTCTCTTCTACCTTTAAAACTACTCCACTCTGGCTCTTGACCTTCTGACCATTAGAGTCACATTTACTTGTAGTTTTTATTGCTAAAGAGGGTTCATCGGGTTTACTGTTTTCTAAATGGTCACGTATTTCCAGTGGCTCTAGGACTAGCTGCTTTACATACAAATGCTCTCTGTTTCCAAGTTTATGGATACACTCAGAACTGCAGGAACACATGGGTGAAATATAATCATTGCTCTGATGACCTACATTTTTGCAATTGGCCTTGTTGTTGCTTTCAGGTAATTCCTGTTTATGCTCTTCCAGGTTCACAGTGGTTTTCCTTGTTGGAGACTGCCTGATGTCTCGGACAGGTGAGCCTTTCAGAACTTTTGGTTTCGGAGCTATTGCTGGTTTGGTTTTCTTTGTTGACTGTGGAACACTAGAAACCACAACATCGGGTTTAGGAGCAATAGGAGGTGGTGTTGGTTTGTTATTTACCACCACAAACTTTGGCTTGGGGGCCACTGGTGGCTTCTTAATGTCTAGAAAAGAAAAAAAATAATAATAATTTGATGACAAAAAATAACAAGCAAGAAGACAAATGATTAATGATTAGATTTAATACCATTATTATTTGGGGGTGGAGGGAGGTTGGACCAACCCCAGTGGTCCTGAGGAGTCACTCCTGGTGATGCTCAGAGGACCACAGTCTTACCCAATCCTATAAGTATAACCTGACAATATGGCAACAACTTGCATTTTACTAGTTCATTTATGTTACAATATATAGACAATATCATGCTCAGAAATTCCTTAATTGCCCTTTAGTGCCAATATATGTAGCTTTGGGTATATTATAAATGTTTTTCCTTTCTTTGTGGTGCAGTAGTCAAATCAGGTCTCGAGCATGCCAGGCATGTGCTGTGACGCTGAGTCAATGCCCAGCCCTATTCTACATTTCCTCTAATGCTGGAACAAGTTGCCGTATCCTCAGTCGACATGAAATAAAACTTCTTTTTGGCACTTGAAAATTAGGAGAAACTATCTCAGTTTACTTGCTAAACACTGAGTTGAATTTGCTTACATTAAAAGCTAACTTTTAAAGTTTCTTATGTGATCAGTAACCCTCTATCTCAAGAATAGGTAGTAGAGTTGAATAAATGCCTTTAATTAATGATTTATCTACATAAAAAAAAATTGTTAGAACCATAGAACAAATTTTAAAGGAATGCAAAAGTCAGAAAATTTCTACACTTAAATACTATAATACAGAAATAGTAATTCTGTATTATTTGGGGGTCATTATAAACTTGGCATTTCTCTGCCTGGGTTCAGAGATTGAGGAATTATTCTTATAATGCTTTATGTAGCTTTATTTTTATCTGGTACCACCTGGTCCCCTGAGTATCACTGTGTGCAGACCTTGAGGCCCCCAGCACTGCCTGGTACAACCCACAGGGCAACTGAAGCACTGCATCCTCAGGCCTGTCTGCCCTAGTAGCGTGGAAGGGGCCCTAGGTCTCCAGTGCACAGTGTGGGAGCACTTCCCTCTCCTTCTCCACCCCTCCCAAAATTAAATCACTGGGCCCTACCCCAGATCTTATCAATCATAGCATCTGGGGATAAATCCCGGACATCTGTATTTCTTCTCAGTTCCACAGATAATCATGCTTCATGTCCTTCATTAATAAGCACACTCCCTATACAATTAAAAGACCACAATTTCTAGTATAAGTAATTCCTCCTAGACACTATTAAAACACCTATTATACTGTGCTCAGTTTGTACAGCCTGCCCCATGAGAACATAGTGGAAGCTTCACACGAAAGGAGCATAAAAGGAAAACATACCTAGGTCTGAACACACACATTTTTTTTTTAAAAGTTGTTTTTTAAGTTTTTTTTTCCTATCACTTATCACTCAGGCAAATTTCCCCAAGGAGGTAAAATCAAAAAAAGTTTATGCTATACATTTATTTACTCCAATATAAGATCTAATGTTTAAAAAAATGTAATTTATTTCAAAATATATATATATTTTTTTATTTTTTTTAAATGTGTTCTGGACATTGTTTAAATGCTTGAATAGAGAGAGGCTTTCACACTTCATTTGGTGATTTTCTTTTTAACATGGAAGTTAGTCAGAACACTTGGGAAGATAAAAGGAATTGAGTATTTTTTCTTTTAAAGTGTAAAGCAGGGTGTGCTACTCTACTTACTAATTAAGGATCTCTCAATTCCTATATTCTCTATATCCAACCAAGCTCATATGGTCAGATGCCTTTTCACTCACTATGATTAAGGTAATATGTTTTCAAAATATCCATAAAATTCCTAAAACTATACAATTTCAGTTAGCTATTGAGTAAACATGTTTCTAATTTTATTTGTAAGGTAAAACCCTTCAAAACCTAACACTAAAGCTTGGTATAATGCTATGAAATTAAACTCCTGAATGATTAAATCATGTCTGATGAGAAAGCATAAATGCCCTGGCCACCTTTCCGACCACCTATCTTCCTCAAGATAATGAAAACTGACAGCCTGTCATGCTGATTTCATTTGTAGAACCATTTCTAAAACAGCCTTCACCTCTGGGACTTCTTCAAGGAGTAAGACATACAGTTTTATAAGATGAAAGAATTTTGGAAGTCAGTCACTGCACAACTATACACTTAAAAATGATAAAGATGGTATATAGATGGTGTATTTTACCACATTTTTTTTAAAAAAATCTCATCCAATTAACTTTTTACTTTCTGAAATTTATATACTTTCTAGAGCTTTAGGGTCACTTAAGCAATTAATTTTTGCCTTCTAGTTAAATTGTTTTTTAAGCTCTGGTACTCATTGTACTCATTAAATGTTCTGTACAAGTGTCTGCTTCCAAGAAAGATAAATCCCTATTCTTTCTCTAATGTCCTCAAAATTAAATTCAGTAGGTACCAATTGGAGTAAATAATCTTGACCATAGGCTTACCATTATTAGCCAGCTTTGAATTGGAGAAAGAAAATAACCTAACTTGGATAGCTGGCTAACTTGTGGATTTTGTGTGGAGAGGCTGCCTCAATTTCCTTCCTTGTCAGTGAGAGGGGTGAAGAAATGAGTAAAGTCTATGATTCTGAGATCCAACTTCTAGGACACTAGTTTCAGGAGACCCCACGGGAGCTCCAGTCCCTTAGCCCTGTGAGATTTTGCTTCAGTGCATCTTTGGCTCACTAGCAGAGGGAAAGTTTTTGTCTCATTCTGTATCCCTGGTGCTGAAAACTGGTCCTAGAAATAAAGCTGCCATAAACATACACCTATTTATATCTCAGAACAGGAAATTTCATTTTAAAAAAATCAAGATCCAGGTCCAAGATGTAGCTCAATAGTGAAGGAGCTCAAAGACAGTAATTTTCTTTCCTTTTTCTTCTTTTTTCTATTTGATGTTAGGGTTTGAACCTAGGGCCCACACATGCAAGGCATGCAGTCTACCATGAAAAAAATAAATATAATAGGCTTCAGCATCAATCTCACTCATCCCCTCTTTGCCAGGGATCAAACCCAGGGCCTTACAAAGGCAGGGCAAAAGCTCTAATGCCAAACTCACCCAGACCTCAGTATCCTTTTCATTATTTATTCATTTTGGTTTGGGGGCCACACCCAGGGGTGCTCAATGCTCAGGGCTGACCCCTGCTGGTGCTCAGGGAACTGCATGTGGTGACAAGGATTGGAACGAAGCTGGTCAGGATTCATAGCGAGATCCTTATGCCCTATCTCTGTGGTCCTCATCTCAATGTTAGAGTAGAGTAATATTTTGGAGTGTTAGTAGGGCTGGAGCGTTAGCACAGTGGTAGGGCGTATGCCTTGCATGTGGCCGACCTGGGTTCAATTCCTCCGCCCCTCTTGGAGAACCTGGCAAGCTACCGAGAGCATCTCACCCGCACAGCAAAGCCTGGCAAGCTACCTGTGACATACTCAATATGCCAAACGCAGTAACAAGTCTCACAATGGAAACATTACAGGGCCCGCTCGAGCAAATCGATGAACAACAGGAGGACAGTGGTGCAGTGCTACAGCAGGAATCAACTACAATAATATCATTGAATAAATTCATTTTCTTCGGGCGGTGGGGGGGACACACCTAGTGGTGCTTAGGGGCCACACTTCACTCTCTTCAGGAGTTACACAAGGCAGTTTTGGGGGCGATGGCCAGACCCCAGCGCCAGTGTTTCAGCAGCAGCTTCATGTAGGCAAGTGCCTTAATCTTGGTACTATCTCTCGGCCCCATAAATCCTTAATCATTATTAGAAACAAGTGTTCCTGGTCACTGGAATAAAAATATCTGAAATCTTTCTCTGTTCTATTTTGAAAGAAACAGAAAACTCAAAAATAATAAGACATCATATTATGGTCTGCTATAATGTCAAACTTTTTTAATTAAGTGAATGATGTTGAAAACAAATCCAGCACCTTTGGATTTTAATACTGTATCAACAGTGAGACCCATTGCTTTTTAGGGCAAAGCAGCAAATCTTTTATTGACACAGCTGTTTGGCTCCAGGGAAAAATAAGGTAAGAAAGTCAAGTGCAGGACCATTTTTACTATTACAAACATGCTCATCATCTATTACATACAACAGACTGTGGTTCACGAAAGCTTGCTTTCCTTCAATATAAACAAACATGCCCTCCCCCGAGCAAACAATTTCCCCAAAGTTTTAATGAATCTAAGTACCCTTCCAACAAGCATCCCAAAATGCTTGTCAAAATGATGAATGCATACTTTTACAAGAATGGGATGAAAAGAAAACCTTAGTTCTTGGCCATGTGTCTATTTAGACACGAGTAGGCATTATAATAAATCTTAATAGATGGATGAACAAAAAAGAAGTTAATGCGTCTCAGCAAACCATGCTAAAAAACCAACTAACTCAGCTAAACACAGGAAGTGTTCCTCTTTTTAAACACCACAAAAATGTCTGTGGATTTCTTTAATTGTTAAGTTGATAAAATATAAAAATAGCTTGCATTACTCTAGGGTAACTCATGAAAAAATCATATACTGCCAGACTAAGCCCTAGTTCAGGTTCAAATATTTAAATACCATACTAAATGCTTTTGTACACGTTCATTCTAAATTTTAAGGGATGGAAATAAAAACTGATGCATATAAAGTATAAATATTTTAAACATAGTTGGTACTCCAAAAGAGAGGAGAACTAAAAGAAGCTAGGATTTTAATACTGCCAGCCACTTTAATTAGCTTGCTTCATTTGTAAAGTAACCCTGCATAAAAGCACAGAAACTGAATGTGAAAATGATTCATTGCAAGTAAGAAGTCTCCCATTGGAGGGGAAAAAAAAGTGGCTTAAAATAACACTATTTCCACCGTGTATAATAATATATTTCCTATATACATATATACATATATTACATCAAAAAGGATAGATCCACAAGATCCTCCTCAAATATATCACTATGGAAATATTTCCCTTCTTTCTTATTTCCTATTGGCTAACTACTTGACCTGTAATCTAATTAAACCTGGCAACTAACACTCCAATATATCCAGGCTTTAGAAAAAATACAAATCAGAACATTTTGAGCGCTGTTTGACAGTTTCAAGTTGCAGGAATTTACAACAAATGCCAAGGAAAGCAAAGAAACTTTAATCAGACACTTAAGTGCTCCTTGTAGAAGCAACTTTAAGAGAAAGCTCTACCCTATTTTAATACAAAACTGCTAGTGGAATTTGTCATTTCTCAACTCCCGAGGACAAACAAGTTTTTTTTTTTTAAAAAAAGGTTAATATTTACTACATTAAAGTTCTGGTTTAAAAATTAGCCTACACTGTATCAAGTAGATTCAACCCCACTTTACTAATTTATCTAGGAAAATAAAATAACTGGACTTTAGGAATGTTTAGAAATACAATGTCCAGAACTGACTAAAATCCACACAAAGGTAAAAACAGGCTTTGTTATTTACTGGAAGGGACAATATTATGGGCGGCAGACCAAAAAAAGGGGGGAAGAGGGGTTAGGCTTTGTTTATATTAGCCAGGTAGAAATAGGAGAGGTAAAAATCCGTTTAAAAAGTGGGTGAACTGGGGCCCTCCTTCAGCAAGCACAATTTTAAAAAAAAAAAAGGCAAGGCTTCGCCTGTAAAAGGAAAAAAGAAAAAAAAAACCCTCCTGGGCGGGAGTAAGGATCAAAATCTCATAGAATAAGGGCCAGGGGTCCCAGTGATCAGCCAAGTCGCGGGGCCATTGCCCTTTCCTAGAATAACTGATTTCTTAACCTGGGGGTTTCGGCTACCTTCTCCCGCAAAGTCAACATAGCCCGAGTTGCAGGAGAGAAGAGCCCAGCCCTTCTCTCCTGTCCACCTGGGCCCTCCGGGACTCCGATCTCCCAAAAGGAGGGAGCTCCCGGGAGTTAGCACATTTCCAGAGAGCCGCAGTCGGCGGGCAGGGGCAGCAGAGCCGGACACCGACGCTGGGGCCTCGGCACTTGGCCACCTGGGTGTCGGCAAGAGGTGGGCACCCCGGAGCCTGGAGGAGAAAGTTGCTTGGAAGCTCCCGCTTTCGCCGCCGCGCTCGCTCTCCAACTTTGCAGCCGCAGCCGGAGCGCCCGTCACTTACCCGCCGCCGAAGTCATGATGTTCCCCCCCGGGAGGGCAGCTCTGCTTTCCTGCTCGCCCTCCCCGGCTCAGTCCGTGCCCCCCGTCGGATCCATGGGTCCGCAGACTAGAGAGAAGAGCCCCCGCAGCTCCCACATTCCGCCCGGCGAGCAGCACCCGCGGGCGCAGCCTGAGCGCCGCACAAAGGATGCGGCGGGCTCCCGGGCACCCGGCGGCGCTCCCGGGCGCGAGCCGCAGGCGGCGGGACACGAGCGCCGCCCTGCCGAGCTTCGGGAGGCTGACGGCCAGGCGCGGGCACGCGCGGTGCTCGCTCACCGGCGCGCTCGGCAGGCGCGTGCCCTCCGGCTCTCCCCGCCGGAGCAGACAAATCAGTGCTGCGGGCGCCCCCTGTCTAGTGGTCGCCATAAAAAAAAAAAAAAAGGCGGACAAAAGCTCCCACCTCCTCCAATCAGACGTCTCCAAATTTCTCCCGTTCCCGCCCCTCCCGCGGCCACGCGCCTCCTCAGCGCCAATGAGCGAGCCGGAAGAGAGGGAGGGAGGGAGCTGCAAGGCATGCCGGGAATTGTAGTTGTTTGGACCCCGAGGGGGGCCGAAACCGAGGCCGAGACGCCGTGGTGGCTGCTGCTGGCTCTCTCCCTCCCTCATTTCCCATCGTGCCGAGGCGGGCGGCATGGCGGAGAAGGATGACACCCGAGTTTGACGAAGAGGTGGTGTTTGAGGTAAGGGGAGGAAAAAATGGCGGTGGGGGGTGTGCATTGGCTTTGTGGGAGCAGCACGAAGGGCAAGGAGAGCTGCCGAGTCCGGAGCGAGGGCTCGGGTGACGCCCCGGCCCCTGTCCTCGGCCGGTGGTTTCTGGGGCCTGGCGAGTGGCCGCAGCCTGACAGGTGTAGCCCGGTGCTCCCTGGCGACCCGCCTCTCCTTCGGGGCCAGCCCAGGATGTGCAGCCTGGGACGCGGCCCGGACGAGGGGGGAACCCGAGCTCCTTCCCCGGGGATGCACGCTCCGCCGGGGCGGGGTTGCGGGGGGTGGGGGAGCCGCGTCTGCCCGGGGCGGGGCCCCTCTCGCGCCCCTCCGAGACGCGCTAATAGAACTTCGCCAACCCCCTCTCCCCCCCCCCCCTTTTTTTTTCCGTGCTGGAGTTTTGGAGTCTGTCTCCAGAAGTGACCAGAGGTCGTTGATGGCCGAGGCGTGGGCCTTGAACCCAGCAGGTGCCTTTTTTTTTTTTCCCTTCCCCTAACGCGGTCGGATGTAAGGACGGGCATCTCCGCACTTAGGTGCAATCTTTTGTCCTTGGTTGTTAAGCGACTGGAGACGACCCTTAAGATTCGAGTCGAGGGGGGCGAGAGGGAGGGGGATATGCGGCGCTTTTGTGTTCGGACTATTTTAAGACGTTCTCTGCCATCTTGGAAAGGAAAAAAAAATTAGGCTAGTGGTTTAGTGGCCGTTTATCTCCACGAGACACAGCAGAACTCTCAGCCCTGCGGGTCTGCGTGGCATAGGCTTCCTGTGCCCGCGTCCAGCTAGATTTCCGAAATCTTTAAAAAGCGAGCAAAGGAAGCGGTCAGCCGCATACAATGAGAGCGCGGACTGTGCAGATGAATAAATATTGGGGAAACGTTGCCAAACGTGCATACGCTGGCGCTAGAGGCTAACTTGGAAACGTCCTCCACCCCCCGCCCCCTACCCCCCACCCCCCACCCGGGCCTCTGAGAAGCAGCAGCCAGTCAATAAATGATCTGGGAGGATTAGGAAGACCCGAAAGGAGCAAATGCATTTCAGGGTTGGAGAGCAGAGTATGCCAGGCTTGATCCACCTGCAGTAGATTTTTTCAGGGACTTAAGGGTAGATAGAAGGCGGCCTTATAAAGGTGCTTCCATGTGGCTCGAATGTAGGCTTCCTGCAAGACAGGGACATGTCACCCAAACGCAGCAATTGGGGAGCTCGCTAAGGAGGACAAGCGCCTGCATTTTGGAAAGGAAAGAAGAAATAATGAAATAATGTCTTGGATAGGGAAAAATCAAGGAAATATTGATTGTGGGAGCTGAAGAAGGTGTAAAAATCAGGATTACTTGGATTTCTAGAGCAAGGGAAGCTCAGTAGGATTTCTTTAGTTAGATTTCTGAATAGTAATACATGTTCTAAGAACATACCATGGCAGGAAAATAAGCCACAAGATTAAAATCATCCATTATCCTAGCACCCAAAGATGGCTGCTATTAACATCATAGTATGTTTTCGTAGACTTTGCCTGTGCACTTGTACGTTTATGTGTGATGTTTTTAAATACAAGATATGCCTAATAAAATGCTTGTGCATTTTCACTTAAATTTGTGTCTTTTGTTATTGTTAGTGTTTTTGGGTCACGCTGAGCAGTTCTCAGGTCTTACTCCTGGCTGTACTGGTCATTCCTGGGGGGCTCTGGGGACCATATGGGATACCCGTATGTTGACCTATGTTGACCACCAGCAATGCAAGTGCCCTGTCTGCTGTACTGTCGCTCTGACGCCACATTTGTCTTTTCCTATTCATTGCTCTTTGAAATTATTCACACTATCACATTCTATATATGTAGGAAAACATAACGTCTCCCATCATTGGGTAATTATTTCAAAGTACTTATTGTAATGAACACTACACAAACCTATTTTTAACTACAAGTTTGATTTTTTTTTCCTTTAGAATAATTCCTAGAAGGTCTAGTGGGTGCCAGGATATAAGTATTTAAGACTGAAGCTGAGGCCTGGGAGACTGCTCAGAGGACTGGAGTCTTACATATGGAGACACATTTCCATGATGAGTACCACCATGGTGATCTATGAGTCGCCAGCTCTGACAGCCCATCCCAAACAGAATCACCACTCACTGAGCCATGCCAAGTGTCAGGCTCTCCGAGTACTACTGGGGAGGCACCCAAATTAATTATTTTTTTTAAGTCGTGCTACAGAAGATATCTACAGACATGCTTTTTTAAAAAGACCGAAATGCCAATTTCTGGGAACATTTAGTTCCTAATCTAATTGTAGTTATTGCAGTTTCTTTCTTCCAAGATGGACTTTTGGTTCTTGTTGTTTATTTAGGGCTTATACCTGCTGTAGCTCAGGGCTTATTCCTGGCTCTGCATTCAGAGATCACTCCCAGCAGGCTCAGGGAACCATATGGGGTGCTGGGAATTGAACCCAGGTCAGCCGCATGCAAGGTAAGGACTGTATACACTGTACTTGCACTTTGGCCCCCAAAATGGAATTTTTGATGAAATTTCTTGGTTCTTGGAGGTGGAGGTGGTTTTCCCTGAACTACTCCCTTTTTCCCTTTTTTCCCTGCTTCTGCTTAAAACCTGCCATTTTGTACTATTCTATGCAATACCTTTCCATGCTTGAGGGGATATCGCCAGTTCAGGAATCATTTAATAAAGCCAGTTAGAACTTTAAAATCAATTCAGCGTTTCAAGTTTTTATTATTTAATAGGAATAAGAGTATTTGTTTGGGGTCTAGAATGTGGCTGAGTGATAGAACACATGCCTCATTTGTGTGAGGCCCTAGGTTTGATCCCCAGAAGCTTCCTTTAATCATTGTTACCAAACATAGTAACAAGTCTCACAATGTTACTGGCCCGCTTGAGCAAATAGATGAACAAGGAGAGGACAGTGCACAGTGCAGTGCACCTTTATAAGAAAAAATAGCATTATGTTGGTTTGATTACGTTTGTGCATTTGTTAGAGATATCTTTTTTGTTCATTTTGGGTCACACCTGGTGATGCACAGGGGTTACTCCTGGCTCTTGCACTCAGGAATTACTCCTGGCGGTGCTTGGGGGACCATATGGGATGCTGGGAATCAAATCCCTCCAGCCCCTGTTAGAGAAATTTTTATTTCTTTGATTAGGAATTTACTTTATTATGGTGCTGGGGATCAAACCCAGGACCTCACAGGTGCAATAAAAATGATCTACATCTGAGTTACTTTCCCAGCTCTTGGGCATTTATTATAATATTGTTTGCCCTTCCTATTAGATGCTAATTTTATGAAAATTGTGTTTTGTATTTTTTTTCATATGTTACTTAGACATAATTTTATCTTGGGGGAGGTGCCTCACCCAGACCGCTTAGGGCTTACTCCTGGCTATGTGCTCATGGATCACTTCTAGTGGTGCTCAGGAGACCATTTGAGGTGCCAGGGATTAAACCTGGGTCAGCTGCATGCAAAGCAATTGCCTTACATTCTATATACTCTCTCCCGCCCTTACCTGACATCTTTATACTATTCAATTTTTCACTTCATCAACATTTTTATTCTTTGCTTTCTAGTAAAGCGACTTCACATTTCTTTCTATGCTGTTGCCTGATTTTTTTTATAGGAATTTAGGGGAGAAAAAATAGAAAGCTATTAATATGTTTCAGTGTACACAGAGGTTACTGTTAAAGAATAACCAGGAATGCTATGCAGCTGTTAGAATGAAGTCATGAAATTTGCTTATAAATGGATTGATATGGAGAGTATCATGTTGAGTGAGGTGAGTCAGAAGGAGAGGGACAGGTATAGAATGTAGAATGACTCTCATTTGTGGGATTTAAATATATATGGGATTACACGGCGCCCATCAGCGGCCAAGACTCAGAGACTACAAAATGCAGCTTCCGGAACCGCATTCGCGGCCGCGCGACATCTTATCAGAACATCTTTTTATGATATCTCATTATCCCATTCCTACTCTGGACAAACTTGCAGGCTATCGAATATAGCCTGCCCACAGGGCAGAGTCTGGCAAACTCCCCGTGGCGCACCAAATATGCCAAATACCAGTAACAATGATGGGTCTCATTCTCCTAAAAAGCCTTGAATATAATCTCAGGGCTAGGATGAAAGAGACGTTACTGGGGCCTGCTCGAGGCAATCGACGATTAACAGGATGATGAATGAATGAATGAAAAATATATATGAGACTAATATCCAAAGTGAATGTAGATAGAGGCCAGGAGGTCAGATCAATGGTCGGAAGCTTGCCACAAGAGTATGTGTGTGTGTGGGGGGGGGGGGGGGGGGGGCATAGGTAAAAAGATATACCTGATATCCTTTCATTATCTATTTCAAACCATAAGGCCCAAAAGGAAAGAGAGGGAGAGAAAGAGAGAGAGAAGGGGGGAGGAAGAATGGGAGGGAAAGAAACTGGGACCATTGGTGGTAGGAAAAGAACACTAGTGAAGGGAAGGTGTTGGAACATTATATGAACTGAAATCCAGTAACGAACAACTTTGTAAATGTGTATGTCACTGTAATCCAATTAAAAAGTCTACGGAGGGGCTGGAGAGATAGCACAGCGGGTAGGGCATTTGCCTTGCACGCAGCCAACCCGGGCTCGATTCCCAGCATCCCATATGGTCCCCTGAGCACTGCCAGGAGTAACTCCTGAGTGCAGAGTCAGGAGTAACCCCTGTGCATCGCCAGGTGTGAATTAAAAGCAAAAAAAAAAAAAAAAAAAAAAAACTCTATGAAAAAAAATAAAAATTTGTTGAATAATAATTTTTAATAAAAGAATAACCAGAACTAGGCAGTGATTAATCCAGTAAAAGCATTTTAGTCAAGAATATTGCAGTGAGGGTAAGTGACCTTACTATAGAACCAAACTCACTTCCAAATGCAGCAAATGCTAGGAGTTAGAATTTGGGTGAAAATGAACAAATGCAAAATTGCTAAGAGGAGGTACATTTGTTGCCCCAGCCCA